GTATGTTTTTGAGCTTCTTAGTGTCTGGAGTTTCTCCTGTATTTATTTATTTATTTATTTATTTATTTATTTATTTATTTATTTATTTATTTAATTTGTATTTTTGAGACAGGGTCTCCTAGTAGCTTGAATTGGCCTGGAACCTACTATGTAGACCAGGATGCCCTTGAACTCACAGAGATCTGCCAGCCTCTGCTCCCATGCTGGGATTAAAGGCCTGTGCCACCATGCCCGGCTCATTCTCCTGCTATTTTTATATTACTGATATCTGTTTCGATTCCACTACTCAAAAACACATTCTAAGTTTGTATTTTAAGTTTGCTGAAGTTTTTTCTATGCTCTGGGACACATATCTGTATTCATGGGTCCTGTGGGCATTTGAAAAATAATCCATATTGTCTGATGTCACTGGTGAAGTGTATCATAATGCTGACTAGATCTGATTGGTTGGTGGTATTGAATTCTGCTATAGCACTGCTGACTTTCTGAGAAGTTCCATCAGTTGTTGAAGTCTCCAGGCATTACTGAACCTCTTTCAAATTGTTTTCTGATATGTCAGTTTTTTCTTCACATTTCAAGGTTTCATTTCTGGGTGAAAACATAACTAGATGCAGTGCCTTCTTGTTACATTAACCCTTTCATATCATGTGGTATTCTCTGTCTCTGGTGATGTCTTTTACTATAATATAAAGTCGAATTTGTCAGATATTAGTATAATTGTATAATTGTATATAATTAGTATAATTGTATAATTGCATATAATTAGTATAATTGACTGATATTAGTATAACCTTCATTTGGATTAATGGTTGCATGGCACATATTTTTAATTTTTCACCCCTGACCTGCCTATGTCATATTTGAAGTCATTATATTTGTTTCTTATTATATATATATGTTTATTATATGTTATATATGTACAGTTTGATAATTTTTCTTTAAATTCACTCTTTCAATCTCTGTCTTTTAATTGCTATATGTAGAGACAAAATTATTGTATTAGGGTTAAAGTCTATTGTGCTGGATAGCTTTAGTTGTCAACTTGACAAATCTGGATAGAGGGAGCCGCAACTTGGTAGTTGCCTCCATTGGACTGGTCTGTGGCCATGTCTGTGGGGCATTTTCTTGATTTTTGAGTGATGTGGGAGGGTCCATCCCATTGAGGGCAGTGCTACCCCTGGGCAGGGTGTTCTGTATTGTATAAGAAAGCAGGCTGAGCATGGTGAGCCAGTAAGCAGCCTTCCTCCACGGCCTGTGCTCCAGCTCCCGCCTCCAGGTTCCTGCCCCGAGTTCCTACCTTGGGCTCCCTGATGAACTATGACTTAAGAGATGTAAGCCAAATAAACCCTTATAAGATGGCTCATCTCCATATTTTTTTTTCCATGAGGATGACACAGGTGCCCAGTGCCTGAGACCTTGTTCATTTTCCAATTCACTGTATTATTCAGATTGGATTTCTATTAGTCTGTTTTCTAGTTCCCAATTCTTTCCTCTGTCAGCTTCATTCTGCTCTTGAGCCCAACCACTGAGCTCTTTATTTGGTTATCATATTTTCTAATTATGAAATTTCCATTTGGTTCTCATTTATATTGCATTTCTGTGCTGTGACTAAATTTTCTTCATTTGACTCAAGCTTTTCATAATTGCTCACTGAAGCACTTCACCAAGACTGCTTCAAACTCTGAATCAGATAATTGTAAGTCCTCTATCGTCTAAATGTTGACATCTGCATTGGCTTCCTGGGGCTACTGTAACAATCTACCACAAACTGTGTGGAATAAAATAATCGAAATTGCTTGTCTCACACAGGGCTGAAAGCTAGATGTTTCAAATTGAGGTGTCAGGGAATTCGGGTGCCCTTTAAAACTGAGGGTCCCTTGCTGCCTTTCCTAGTTCTTGGTTTTCTGGCAATCTCTGGCTTTTCTTGGCTGGTGGCTCAATAATTGGTTGCCTCTGTCATAGCAGGGCACTCTTACTGTGGGTCACTTTTCCCTCTTATAATGTTATCAATTGCATTGAATTAACTACTATCTCATCTTAAATAATATCTTCAATGACTTTATTTCCATATATGGTCACATTTGTGACACACTGGGCATTGGGGCTTCAACATATCACTTGTAGTAATGCAATTCAGTGCTTGAAAATAATCATAAATTGTTTTTCACATTCAGTTTGAGCTCTTTCTGGTACTTGGTAGGATGTGTTACTTTTATTGAAAATAAGTTTTTGTTGTATTTTAGAATACTTTGAGTTTTGGCCATTTTTTTCCCTTATGGCAAAGGAAGGTGGAAATATCCTTTTGTCACTGGCAAGTGTGAATAAAAGTCCCTAAATGCCTGCCTTGTTCTACAAGGAGAAAAGATCCTTCTCACTATTGAGAGGAGGCAAGATCTGGCTTCACATGGTCCTGAAGGTCTCTAGTATAGTGAGAGTGACCTTGTATTTCTGGTGACACCTCCACTAGGCCCCTCTAACACATTCCAGTGAGAAGGAGGAGGGGCCTGTCAATCTCAAATGGGGTAGAATCCTTGCCTCCTATCATTCTAGTTGGTGTGCTGCGTTCCTTCTTACAACAGTGCAAGAGAAGAGATGAGGCTTTCTACCTTTGCTGGCATGGGTTGAGGTGTAGTTACCCTTTTGACTGTGGAATTTGGGTGGAAAACGAAAGTTATTACTTGAAAAATTTTTAAAAAGTATTTTATTATTTTTACTTTATGTGTATGAGTGTATTGCCTGCATGTATGTGAGTGCTCCTGTGTCGTGCAATGCCGCGGAGGTCAGAAGAGGGCTTCGATTCCCCCTGGAACTGGAGTTAAGGACAGTTCGTCGTCGCCATGTGGGTGCTGGGAATCAAATCCGGGTCCTCTGCAAGAGCAGTCAGTACTCTTAACTGCTGAGCCATCTCTCCAGCCCCATTTCCTGAAAATTTTTATTTTGCAAGTTCACTCTGTTACTTGGAAGTCTATGCCTCTACCTCTGATGTGTCTGAGACCAAAAAATTCACGTGTAACTTGGAACACGTGAAGCAAAAATAAAACCTAAGGAAGGTCAGCACTGTAGGATCTATCTGGATCTGAGCTCACTTCTCCACCTTCTTTATGTGTGTTTTATGCCTAGGAGGTTGTGTATTTGGTGTGGGGGATAGGGACAAGTACATTTAGCCTGTTGTCCCGGAACAGAATTGGATTTGTTTTTATGTCTTAAAACTATGGACCTATAATTTCTTAGGGAAATCAGTGCTTTATCCAGTGCATTTTCTCCTTGGATTTATTTCATGTTTTTATTAAAATCTACTTATAGATTTTTGGAACATAATCTGTTTTAGTCATTATAATGATTTGTGCTTCTCTTACCTTGTTTATTCTATTGCTTCCTGCTAATTTTCTTAGCAATACCTCAACTTTTGAATTTATAATACCTTAAAAAGTATCATACTAAACCTTACTGTTTAAATTCTTCACTTTTTTTTAACATTATTTTCTGTTTCTTAATCTGAAACTTGTAATTTTATCTTCAAGTTGTTGTCATTACATGACTACATTTGATAGAGGGCTTCGGGAATGTGACAAGTAGAGAAAACCCTTTTCACATGTAGGGAGATGGGTGCTTTTCCTCTTCTTTGGGTTCTGTGAGTCTGGCTCTTCTTTTCATCGTGAGGTCATAAGAGGAGCTCAATCTGTGAATCTGAGATGCGTGGCAGCTTGACTGCAGGACACTTCCCCTGTCCTGTGGAATTCCTTTCGCTGGTATTCACTATGCTGCTGTTCTGCTTTTGCATCCTGCGAGGCCTCAGAATAAATAGGCCTTAGATTTCAGACGCTATGTTTGCTGGAGACATTGCTAAGATGTCCTAGTTTGTTCTTCATTGCTGTGACAAAACACTCTGACCAGTACCAACTTGGGGAGGAAAGGGTTTATTTGTCTTACATCTCCCAGGTCGCACAAAGTTCATCAGGGAGCCCAAGGTAGGAACTCAGGGCAGGAACCTGGAGGCAGGAGCTGGAGCACAGGCCATGGAGGAACAGCGCTTACAGGCTTGCTCCCTTGGCTCCTGCTCAGCCTGCTTTCTTATGCAACACAGGCCCACCTGCCCAGGGGTGGCACCACCCACAGTGGGCTGGGCCCTCCCACATCACTCATCAAGAAGATGCCCCTCAGACATGGCCACAGGCCAGTCCAATAGAGGCAATTCCCCGATTGAGGCTCCCTCAACCCAGGTGTGTCAAGTTGACACTAAAGCTATCCAGCACATAAGGGCTTTCTCCACTAGATCCAGTTATATGGAGTAAATGTTTTGCAAGACCATGTGAGAAAACTGTCTGAATGTCAAGAAAAGTTTCATATTTTATACAGCTCTAAAATGGAAATGGAGCTCACATAAATAATTGTGTTTCCTGTTTTTTTCTTTAACCACTATGAAGGTCAAAGGCAGTAACTGACAAATCTACTGCTGTCTAAAATTGTGTTTCAATTTATTCTTAACTTTCCTACTTCAATTTGGATTTCCATTTGTTATTACACCAATTTTATCATGTTTATATTTGAATATTTTCTTATAAATATGTTGATTCTTTGTAGATACAAAGTATGATGAAGATAAATAATTTAATTATTAATAAAATAACCTTCAAATAATTTCACCCTTTAGTAAACTCCAAGAGTTTCAGATAAATTATCATCATCTTTGCAAATTACAGTTTATACACAATTTTTACATAGAAAAAGACATACATGCACCTCAAATGAGACCAGTCATTAAGCACGTCTCCTGCTCTCTGCCCAGTCTTCTTTTCATGAAACACTCCTATCAACTGAGTACCTACTTCACAGTCTTACCAGGCTCAGTATACGTTGTGGAAATTATAGAAAACATTACTCACTTATTTGTCAACAACCGATAGTCTGCTACTTTAGTGGACAAATCAAGTATCTGATCCAAAATTTCTGCACATATACCGTAATGCTTCTCATAACGAGCATGAGCTCTTTCCACAGCAATCCTCTGATGAATTTCCTTCTCCTTGAAGATTTGTTCTGCAAAATCTATCTTGGCCTGTTTTGCCAAAGCCTAAGACAGAAAAACCATATTTTAAGCCACTATCATTATCCAACAATTCAAATGAAAATGTTATAATTTCTCTTTAAAAATATTTTATTATTTTATTTTATTTTATTTTAATGGGCCAACTACGTTTGGGCCTTTTCGTAGTTGTATATATCCTAGTGTTTTGGCCGCATGTACGTAAGTGCATCTGTGCCATACAATGTCAGTGGAGGTTAGAAGAAGGCATTGGATCCCTTGGAGCTGGGGTTATAAATGGTTGTTAGCTGCCATGTGGTTGCTGGGATTCAAACCAGTGTCCTATGAAAAATCAGCAAGTGCTCTTGACTACTGAACCACCCCTCTAGCCCTTAATGTTATAATTTGTATATCAAAATCTTTAAATAGAATGAAACCCCTTTTACAGTAATAACTGATCATGAATGAGTTCTCTCTCATTGATACATTAAGTACTGAATAAAATGACAGTGTCAGAAAGATTCCACATTTGACTCATCAACAGAACAGTGAACTACGGAAAGTGTTGTGAATGGGAAAGGACCAATATCATGAAAGTTAGCTATTTGGCTTCCATGAAGATTTCCTGATTCCATCATTTGCAAAGAGTCAGAGATCACAGATAAATCGGTTGGTCTTGGTCAGATGGCAAACAGCTAGCCCTTAACAAACACTTCTTGCCCAGGACCCTTTACTAGAACACATTTGCTATGGACAGTGGACTTGCTTTTCGGTATTGACTTACTGACATGTCAAAAATATTTTGGATTTCCTGGTTTATAGTTATTTGAAATGACACATTTGGCAACAAATATTAGGTGTCCTAAACCCTTTGCTGTTTTAGTCTTAATAAACTGATACATTTATTTGCAGAAACATCTACTTCTGCAGGAAGTAACGAAATATTCAAACATCTTGCCACCACCTTCTACTTGGTTTGTACTATTGTTTTATCACACAACGCACAGCCTAGTCAAGCTGAAAGTAATACAATACTTATTTGAAGGGATTCAAATGATCAAATGCCGCCTTTCAGAAAACTGCCAGCTGCTTGAGAAATTTGATCACATATTAATCTACCCCAGAAATAAGATCTCACTCCTGTAATTTAATTCAGCCAGAAGAAAATGAAATAGATGTGTACTGTAACTGAAGCCCCAACTTGAGCATAAAATTCAGATTAAAGCTGTTTGAGAATTTGAGCAAGTCCATTAGCCTCCTTAAGCTTCCATTTTTCAAAGTAGGGATATTAATTATCAGAATATCCAGAAAAAAATAACTGAACCATTTCATCAGAAGCTCAAAGTCAATCAAATTACAGGAGCCATGTGAACATAGGACTGGTGACAAGCATGGTGTATTTAGTTACCAGTTGAATCAAGATTCATCAGAAGATCGCTGTGGAAAGAGCTCATGTATCAAGGGCACAGTTTGAAGGGGTTTTTCCCCCTGTTAGTGCAGCAACACAGAGAAAAGTATAGGCAGATCACATTAAAAAATGAAGTCTTCTAAGGCAACTGGCAACCAAATGCCACTTTAGTGGCATTATAGTGACTTGTTAGCAAAGATCAAAAGGATCATTAGAAAGGGTTTTAGGAGACACTTGACTTACTGCTTCTCGGTCAAGAGCATCCTGGAAATCTTTAAGTCGTCTTTCCTCATATTGTTTTTCTCTGAAAATTCTATTTTGCCACAAAACTTCCTTTTCATGTCGAATGTGCATGAGCTGCACTGCAATCCTCCGTTCTTGCTGGGACTGACGCATCAGCCGGTGGATCAGTTGCTCTTCTCGATTAGCCTCCTGCAAACACCAGCACAAGAGGCTCTGAACTGTCACAGCCGAGTCCAGCTTTCTCAGTGGGCTAAGAAGCCAATGCTCAAATAGTATGTTCAAGGTAATAAAACCATCTAAGTCAGTTTTTGTCCTTTCATGTAAATTTGAAAACAACAAAACAACGTGCAAAATGGCAACAATTTGGGTGTCCAGAAACGTTATGATTCTGAAACTCATAATTTCTTCAAATAAATTGTTACTTTCAAAATCTAATAAAAATAAATTGTGTTTTCAGTTTTATGAAGAAGTTATATAATTCTCAATTTGTAAGTACTTTCCCAGAAGTTTAGCAACTTGGTGTATGTGCTTTAACATAACTACCCTTTGTGAAGATGATTCAGACATATTAGCATATCTGGTAACTTTCCCAGGGGGCTAAATCAATACTTGAGTGAGGAAAAGACAAAATTCATTGAAAATGAAGACTGGAGATGAAGCTAGGTGGAAGTGATCAGTTGCTCATCTTAGAAACTCTCACAGGTCTTAATCTGAAGCAGAAAGCAAAAACGTTCTCTGTTTTCAGGAGAATAGCAGAGCATCCATAATGAACAGTAGGAAAAACTAACTAGGAATCAAGCCTGGCTACTGCATCCCCAAGCATACCATTATCTGGATGTGTGACTTTGGGCAAGCAGTTTATCTTAGCAAGCCTCTTTCTCAGTAGGTAATGAGAGGCTTAGACAAGGCAATCCCCAGGCACCATCCAGCTCTCTGATTCTGTCTAAACAGAGATCCTGAAACCTGAACCTTAGGCTTATTTTTAAAATACAAACTTCAACAGATAACATTCTGACTCTATGTCTGAGATAAAGTCAGGACCAACTTTGTAACAGGTGTTCTATATAGTTATTAAATTCAAAAAACAGGTTAATAATTGCTTTTCCTTAAAAATCCATTATTAGATGTAAAGCAGAGTGTACAAATTTCCATTTCTTCTCTTTTTCATTCACAATTTTTAATTTTAACTATATATGTATATATACATATATTATATACGTGCATGTATATCCCCAGACAACAGTAAAATTTATTGCTCTCCACTCTTTAAATACAGGGTATGGTGTGACCAGTGACTTGAATTGATAACTGGCACATCAGAAAAAAAAGTAAAAAGTCCAGCAACTATAAAAATACCAAAAAACTAAAAATCTCTTGGGGGTCTTTCCCTGGTCACTGTGTACATGACCTAGTCTACCAGGATTGCTTTATTATTCTAAATGAATCCTATCAGAGTTTTAGAGTAGGTTTCAGTTGCAAATTTATCTGAGGAAAGCCTGGATTGGTCACTTATGTTTTGATTATTACTGGATGACAACACACCACAATGAAATTGGATGAGACAGAAGGAAAGTACCAGGGGATGGCTAAGTCAAAGCTAAGTGTAATTAAGTTTCAATATGAAGAACTTACTAGCACCTGTGCCTAACAGTTAAGTGGGAAAGTATTGTTGTGGTTTTATTGTACAAGTAATTCATCCTTTAGAAACAGATTGCTTATTAAAATTTCAGTGATATATAAGACATATTATCTAATATAAACTAAGATATGTTACAGCTGTTGCTAAGAAGGCCTAAAAACCTAAAACTTACATGTATTATTGTGTATTTTCAATGAAAATGATAGAAGACTTGCTTATTTCGCCTATATTTACCATACTGGGGAGAATTTAAATCTATATGCAATCCCGAACAGTTTCAATTTGACTGAATGGCCCTCTACTTCTCCCAGGAAGTGGGACTAGGAGCTTTCTCTGGTAACCATTTACCAGTTCTCCAAAGAGACACAACTGATTTTCAGGGATGTATGGGCCACTGCACAGCTTACTAAACTAAGTACCACAGGGCCATTAGGCATCAAGTGACGGTAATTAAAAATATTTCTAAGTAGGGGTTTTGCTTTTCTGATGTGAAGATGTGCCAGGTGCATTTGACTCAGACTTACAGACAATATGCATATAAGATATTTATTTGTGTATATAAAAGAGTATATTTTGTAAAGTTCCTGGCACTGTTATCTAACCAACATTAGATATCTCACCTCCTGTGCTTCATGGGCTATTAACTGGTCCATTAACAACCTCCGCCGTCTTTTTTCCCTTTGTTCTCGTGCAAATGCATCTTCTTCTAGTCGTTTCTGGATTTTTTTAATGTATTCATCATCTGAGTATGTGTTTAACAAATCAGTAGTTGTCTGGTCTGCTGTGTCTAAAGAAGTCTTGGATAAACTAAAGATGACAGTTTTTATATTAGATTTTAGCATAATGTAGTCATGTGTCACTGTGATGATGGAAGACCTTTGGGGAAGGCTCCTTTGAGTTCTGTTTATTAATACAAGCATTGGATCAGACACTGAAACCCAAAGCTTATTAGTGCATTCCATTCACTTCTGCACACTTTTAACTCTATCTCTGAAAGGTCCTTCATATCACCTATTGCACAAGCCCCTCTCCTCTTTTCTCACCCTATAAGCTCTAGTCTACTTAGAGATTCTGGATTTCCTTCCTACATCTTTCCATTGGCCCTGGGCCTCTTGGTTCCTCTATTTTAACAAAAATGGATAACACTCTATGACAGGAGTCCAGATACAATGAACGTCACCTTACTGAGTACCTGTATGGATGGTCCCATCCACTACCATGCTATTCTCATCTACAATGGTGCAAGCTACTCTAAAAACTCTAGGGTGGATTTATGACTGCTTAGGACAGTGGCCTTGCCTTTACTGAGAGCTTAGCAGTTGATGGTTTTCTTGCTTGTCATGACTACTCAGCACAAATCTAACCTGGTCCCTTGTCCTATCTCAAGTACAAAACTGAAGGGAACATACAGAGCCTGGAAAGCTTCCCAAAAGAAAACAAACACAGAAAAATGTTAGTGAAATGGTACCTTAGCATAAATTTTTTATCCACTCAAAAGTTATCATTGAAAATAAAAGATGCATTTTTAATGTACATAAAAATTGCATCATCAATTATTATTTGCATACATCTTTAAAAAGCAATTAGAACACAACAATTAGTATAATAATTAAGAGATACAATAATGCTGCTTGCCAAGAAGTAATGAGTTTTTATTATGAAGAATCATTATTTTTGTTATCAATAATAATGCATTTAATTTAGAAATATATTACAATCTAAATAAAAAACCAAGGGCACATTATTTGAGGACAGGGATCTCTAAAAAAAATTTTTAAAAATTTTTTTGGTCTTTTTAAGACAGGGTCTCCTTGTAGCCCCAGCTGACCTGGAACTCGCTATGTAGACCAGGCTGGACTCGAACTCACAGAGATCCGCCTGGCAAAAGTACTTCTGTAATCTCAATCTGAAATAACTGTATATTTATTATATAGGTTATATAATATAATAGAACATAATTTGTAAGTTTGCTGCTCTCTGTTAAATTTTGAGCTCATAAGAAAAGTATTCTTTTCTTTCTTTCTGTGAACCTGTGCATAGCATGCCTGATAAACAATTGATGTGTGCTAAATTTAAATTATATTCTAAGAATCACTATCAAATATAAAAGTCAAACACTAAAATTCTGGTTATTTTATCCACAGGGGCTCAAGGCTTGGCTGTATTCTGCCATTGAGAGAAGTTAAGGAGAAATTGTGTTACAACAAAATACTCAGTAAGGTAAAAGCAAAGCTGGTTCGTATTTATTAAGATTTAATCAAATTAGCCTTTAGCAGGATAAAGCTAAGACTTTAGCAGACAGCCTGAGAGGGCCTGTTCTAGCCTCCCTCTGGCACAGGGGCTGAGAACTCAGGGGACTGCCCGGGAGTGCCTGGATCCTGCCTCCATGTGGTGATGATGCTATACAGCAGTCTCTTCTGCTTCAAATAACTGCCATCATCTCGACTTCAGCTGTGCCTGCTTGCAAATATCATCACAGCTGGGCTTGTTGACAGTTGTGTTCTTTTCATTAAAGGAGGGTTAAGCAGGGTGATTGAACCCTCACTAGAGTATCCAGCCACTCTTCCCAGCCAACTGTATGTTATTTGGCCCAGTATGTAATCTGGAGAAGGCTGGGAAGAGAAGGCTTGATCCATGCTGGGTCAAGGCTTTCCAGTATGCATACCCTCAGGTCACTCATACACCTCAGCAACCCCCCAGTCATCTCTGTAAGTAAGCTCAGTAAATCACTGGTTCCCCAGGAAAACTTTAATCAAATATTGGTTTGACACTAGAAACTTAGAAGGGAATAAATATTGCTTAGTATCCCCAGGAAAAGATTTCTCACAACAGATGGAAAATTTATTTTTTAATGTTATTGTGTCTCATAATTATTAAAAAAGAAAATGAGAATGTAAAAGATGTTAATGGGATATGGGAATGGCCGGGTGTGGTGGCGCACGCCTTTAATCCCAGCACTCAGAAGGGAGAGGCAGGCAGATTTCTGTGAGTTCAAGTCCAGCCTTGTCTACATAGTGAGTACCAGGCCAGCTGGGGTTACAGGAAGACCCTGTCTCAACGCCCCCCCCCCCCAAAATGATATGGGAATGGAGATATTTTCCAAAATAGAAAAAATGAGAAAGCCTAAGCAAGTGATGAAGCTCTGTGTAGGTTTGTTATGATATCTAAAGGATGAGACAAAAACAATATACGCATAATCTTAAAATTTCTAAGGTCATAGTTTAGTCAGCAAGTTTAAGGAACAAAATATATGTCTAGTCAAGGTTTATTTGAGAATGTTTGGTTTTTGTACAAGCTTTATCTACATAGCACGTGGTAATTAAAAGTACCAGACTGGTGGACCTTACCTTCTTGGATATTTAATAGCCATACTTTGAGGCCTATACTAATCTGGTCACGGGACTTAAAGGACAGTTTTTGTTCCTTGCCCTCTAAAGTCAGCTAAGTTCCAGGGAACTATGGAGCATCTCTCAAAATGTCCTGTAACTCTGGTGAGTCACCTGTCCTCTTGATCAGGGAGGCCATGGAGACCCCACCAGATGGACTTGAACCAGTGTCCAGTCTACAAGAGGAGGGTCAACACAGAGGAAACAGTTTCTCCATGCTTCCAAGTGAAGCCAGCCACGGTTGAGCAGGACCTTTGACTTATTTTCACATAGATGGAACTGGTGAAAGAAAGGAGCCAGGGGCTCCCTCCAAGCCCATGTGACCCCTGAGGAACAGATCCTCAAATGACCTTAAGAGTAAAAATAAATTGGGTTATCTGGCCTTAAATCAGTTTATATGGCCTTAAATACCCAAAAGGAAAGTATAACCAAATATTAAAGTGATAAGTATATTTCTTTAAGAGTTCAAGGGATTACACTTCCCAGACATTAGACTTAAGTCCATATAAAATATTATTTAGGTAATTATTTCTCATTGATGATTTTGTTTCTAATAAGAAAGTGCTAAGGGGGACAACCCACTATTGTTTTAAAATGATGGCTAAACTTGTTTTCTCCCCCTATCTAGAAGCCTTTGAAAGGAACTGACACTGATTCTAGCCACTCCAACAGCTATCAAAGTGCCTGGAAAAAAATCCTGATTTCATCCCTCTCTAGTCCAGTCTTGGGAGACAAAAGAAAAATGAGGAGGAGCCCAATAGAGGGATGCTTTTGGAAGCTCTCATCAAGAAATTCCAATGGACTCTGATGTGAACATTTGAAATTTGCCCTGTTCTGACCTTTTTCTGGTTCCCTGTCTAGAACTTGTAATGCTAACTACTCTTGACTTTACTTCTCCTTCACATCTCCTAGGCACTAGTCAAGGACTTTCTTTTCTCCATACATTAAGAGTTATGCAATTTGGGAAACTTTTAGATAGACCCACTGAAGGGGTACCCCAATTGCCTCACCCTGCATCCCTGTTCAGCATGGAAGCAGCCAGAGTGGTATGCATCCTGATTCCCTATTGGCAATTTGGGTAACCTCTTCAGAGGATGGTGTGATAAGAATAGAAGGTAGGAATTGGCTAGGTAGTTAGGGTAAAAAGACCCCAAAGAAAAGTAGCCAGTTTCTTGATGAAAAGTCAAAATGTCCTTGGGCCTCTTAGCAACATACCCTGTTCCAAAGGCCAGAGATGTCAAAAGTATTTAGGAGCCCTTATCTAATTCCTAAAAGACTTTAGGGTTACCTCTTCAGAGGGGGTAATAGGAGTAGCAAAGAGCCTCATATAAAATACATTGAGGTTATTCTATGTACTGGCAATGACTAGAAGTAATGCATCTGTCTTACTCAGTGTTCCATTCTGGAGGGAGATAAACAATGAATAGCTAAATAAATAAGAAAAAAAAGATTTAATAAAATTAAAGTCTAAAGTGGTGGCCCACACAGTAATCCCAACATGTAGGAGGTAGAGGCAGGTAGACTGGATTTCTGTGAGGTCAAGGCTAGTTGGTCTATATAGTAAGTTTCATGATAGCCAGGGCTATGTAGTGAGACCACATCTCAAATAAGTAAATTAAATAAATAAGTAAATAAATGCCATTAGTCCTTTGAAACATGTTCTACTTTGCTTCTCTATTGTTGTGATAAAACACTGACCAAAAGGCAACTTGGGAAGGAAAGGCTTTATTTCATCTTATAATTCCAAAGCACAGTGTATCTTTGAGGGAAGTCAGGGCAGGAATTTAAGACAGGAACCTGGAGACAGGAGCTGAAGCAGGGTCCACAGAGGAATGTTGCTTACTGGCTTGCTCTGTGTTTCTTGCTCAGCCTGCTTTCTTATATAACACAGGATCACCTATCCAGAGGTGGTGCTATCTACAGTGGGCTGGGCTGGGCTCTCCCACATCATGCAGCAATCAAGAAAATGCCTCAGGGACATGCCTACAGGCCAGTCTTACTGGAGACAAAACCTCAACTGAGTTTCCCTATTCCTAGGTGTGTCAAATTGACAACTGAACCTATCTAGCACAGCTCAGTGTGAAAAGCATTTTTTAAGAAATTTAGTACAATTACATATTTGTGGAAGTTATGCAGTGTGATGCTCTTAGATCATTCATCAAGATTCTTACCATGTTTTCACTTAAACATGTGGTTGAAAAGATTCTGCCCTGGATTAAATATATGTTAACTAATTCCTCAACACTGTATTTATGCTGCCAGTAATACACCTAGTATAGTGCTTCTCTTTCACTGTCATTCACTTCATTCATCCTTCCATCCATCAGAGTTACAAGACTCTAAACTCAAAGTAATGAAAAGGATATGGAAATGTCACACCCTGATTTAATCAGTATACATTTCAGAAATGCAGTGAAATATTACTCTTTCTCCTGTATATACCCTTATGTGTGTGTGTGTGTGTGTGTTTGTGTGTTGATGGACATGGAAATGCTAACTACTCTGATTTGTTCATAAATATGTCAAATTAAAATAAAATAACAATAAAATTAATTTTTCAAAAATAAAAGTTATATGATCGTTTAGATGAAGTAATAATCATTTTCTTAGATATGAATGTCTTCAAGGCAGTGATCCTATTTTATTTATACTTGAATGCTGGCCAAACCTCCATAGAGATGAATGATTTTATACTTATGAATTATTACTACAGAGATTTAATCAAATTTTTGTTTTGAAAATTGCTTTGAAAAATTTCAGATAAATCTGTTTACCCAAATGCCAAGTTACAGCATCCAACAAAGCTCAGCTAAATAAACAAATGATTAATACCATCTATTATTCTAAAAAGTAGGAAAAAGAAAACCCAATGAACCTTATAAACATGGGGGAAGCAGTCAAGGCAGATGTGCATCACGGGCACTAAAACATCACATTCTTCTGCAAAAGAAAAATGATGGGCTTTGTGGTGACAGCCCTGTCCCTGAAGGAGCTTTCCCGAGCAGACAGTGAAAGAGGCTGCAGAAACTGTTCTCCGGGTTCATTCTATATGATTTTAGCATTTTTCTCCAATAAATTAAGTGAAGTTTCTGAATGATGCCCTAAGATCCTAGGCTAAAAATTCAAAATTAAAAAGTAGCTATTGATAGAAGAGCTTAAGAAGCCTATTATCCAATAACTTTTGTTTTTTTTCTAAGTTTGCCTTAGGCAAGTGCTTTCCAGCAATTTTCTTTCTATGGCCATCAGAGAAGGTGCCTCTTGTGCAGCACATTACAAGAGATTATTTCTAGATGAGGCTGCTTCCACCCACAAGGAGCTGGCCATGGGATGAGTCTCCAGATGCCTTGGGTGGGTCCTAAGCTGCTGCTCTGAGAAATGAAGCTGTCCTTATCTTTAGCCCATCCCTCAACTCTCCTTGGAACTGAGAGGACTAAGCAGAGTCTTCTGAAAAGATCACGCATCAGACAATATGTCTGTTTTTCTCTTTTGTTCTCAAAACAGAGACCTAATTTTATTCAGAGAAACTGTACCCACAAACAAACTGCTGTTTCCCGGCCTTCTGATAGGTGTGCTCATGTGACTGAGTTTTGGCCTATAAAATATAAGTGACATTTTAAAAAGGAACTCTTTCACTACTTCATAATAAATTTAGTCATGCAGCCTAAAGATTTCTACAATGAAACTTTGAAATATGAAAGAAAGAAATGGATAAAGATCC